GTATTTTTTTTCTTTAATGATTTGTATTTTTATAATTATTTGGTAAATCCATTCAAATCTACTCTAATAAATGAATGTTTTTTTACCACTTGTCACACTCTCATTTACTTTGTCAAATGTCATTTTCTGATTATTTTGAATTAATTTTTTTTCCACATATCATTTTATATGTTTTTTCTATTTTTTTTTTTTTAATTCTTCATAATATTTTAATATAGTAATTGCAATAAATATAGTAGTAAATGGATATCAATGTCATTAATGAACTTACCTTTTAATTTTAAAATTCTCAAAATTAAAGCTCATTAGTTTTTATTTATTTATTTAAATTATTTGTTTAAATTTAAAAGATAAAAAACATTTTCATTATAATCATTCATTAATTTTCTTATTTTCTTATAAATTCAAAGTTTTCAATAAATAAATAAATAAATATATATATATATATATATATATATATAATATATATATATATATATATATATATATATATATATATATATATATATATATATATATATATATGTCTCAAAACTAATACTTAATAAAACAAAACCATTTCATTCAACATCAATTAAAAATGTTAAAGATGATTATTTTTATCATTTATCTAAAAACCAGTTTTTAAGAGGCAGATAATATATTTTTATTCTGAGACAAAATTAAGCCTCTAATCGTTGCCAAAATCCCCTTAGCTTAAGATTTGTAATTACTCGCAATTTAATTTAATTAGCCTCCAAAGTCCAAAGTCCAAAGTCCAAAGTCCAAAGTCGAAACGCCTCTTGGTTACGCGTGGAGGGTGATTTGGGCTTCCAGATTCCAAGTTGTTCACTGGCCTTTAGGAGGAAAATGGAAATGGAAATGAGAGGAGAGCAAAAAGACACGTCGACTAGACGTATACACAAACAAAAACAAGACACAAATGTCGCTAATCAACCACACAGTCACAGTCTACCCACCTTGTGACTTGTGATCCCGCTCAAGCCAGGGAGGAGATTTTGTATTTCTTCCATTTTTATGACCAGGGTCGTCTCTAAAATAAGAGGAGCCCGTTACATTTACAAGAATCTTTATCTTCCTCTAAAATTCTGAATCAAAGAGAAAGGAGATTCCTTTGCCACGTGGCTTCCACCTTCCACCTTGCACCTTCCTATTCAAGGAGTGGAGGAGGCTCAGCTGCTGCTTACTTAAATATTCTCCTATACGACAACCGGGCATGGCGGAACTGCAGGAGGTATAAGTCGAACACGATCTAGATGGTGATGCAGGTAAGCGGTTGTGGTGTGGGAGGCGTGAGTGTAACAGCAAATAGAATTGTGGGTATTGAAAGATGGAGGATGGAAGCGTCGCCAACCCTCCTCCGATTCCGTCACTTTGACTTGAATATTTCCTCATTCTCATCTTCTTCCTTTCATGGATGCTCTCCTTCGCAATCGTCTTGGACCTTTCCGTTACGATTCAACATCCGGAACAGTTCCGATAAGAAAACCGCCGTCAGTATCAGCACCGTTAAGAGAGGACGACGCACCGGCAATAACAAGAAGAAGAATCGTACGGAAGTCACCGGTGAACCTGTGGTGGCTGATAATTACTCAGAAATCAGAGGAAAGCAGGAAGACAGAACCCAGGATAGACCATTCAGCGTGCGTAGTTTATCCCAAAACGGTGATCCTCTTGGCCGGAAAGATTTGGGGAAATCTGTGGTCAAATGGATAAGCCAGGGGATGAAGGCAATGGCCACCGATTTCGGGGAGGCGGAGTTGCAGGGAGAGTTTTCCGAGGTCAGACAGCGAATGGGTCCGGGTCTCACCTTCGTTATACAAGCTCAGCCTTACCTCGGCGCCATTCCAATGCCCTCCGGCCTTGAATCTGTATGCTTGAAAGCCTGCACACATTACCCTACACTCTTCGATCATTTCCAGAGAGAGCTAAGGGACGCCCTTCAACAACTTCAGCACAAATCCTTAATCGAAGACTGGCAAAAAACCGAATCATGGAAGTTGCTCAAGGAACTTGCAAAATCAGGTTCTTTTTACTCTTTCTTTATTCTATACCATTCGATAATCAATCCTAAACAATCTTATAAAGTTGTTATAATCACTTTCAGCTCAACATAAAGCCATTGCAAGGAAGGCGTCACTACCAAAAGCTGTTCATGGTGTTTTGGGCATGGAATTGGAGAAAGTTAAAGCAATTCAAAACAGGATTGATGATTTCACAGAAAGAATGTCTAACCTCCTTCGTGTTGAAAGGGATGCTGAGCTGGAATTCACCCAACAGGAGCTAGATGCTGCTCCTGCTCCTGCAACTACAACTTCTGATTCAAATAAACCGATTGAATTCCTTGTAAGCCATGGACAAGCAGAACAAGAACTATGTGATACAATATGCAATTTGGTTGCAGTGAGTACTTACACAGGATTAGGTGGGATGCATTTGGTGTTGTTTAAAGTGGAGGGAAATCACAGGTTGCCACCTACAACACTCTCTCCTGGAGACATGGTGTGTGTGAGGACATGCGATAGCAGGGGTGCAGCTGGATCAACTTCTGGTATGCAAGGATTTGTGAATAACTTGGGGGAAGATGGATGTAGTATCACTTTGGCTTTAGAATCCAGACATGGTGATCCCACTTTTTCAAAGTTATTTGGTAAAACTGTGCGCATAGATCGGATCTATGGATTGGCTGATACAGTTACATATGAGGTACTTGTTAATTACTATCGACTATTGTTATTAATACAAATAGGATGCTATAAATATAATTTATTTACCATTCTTTCTTCATGTTCGTTTCAGCGCAATTGTGAAGCTCTAATGATGCTACAGAAAAAAGGTCTACACAAAAACAACCCTTCAATTGCAGTTGTAGCAACACTTTTCGGGGACAAAGATGACATCAAATGGCTGGAAGACAACAATTTCACCGACTTAAGTGAAACAGAAATTTCCGGAATCAAATACATAGAAAATTACGATAACGCCCAAAGAAAGGCAATTGCGTTAGGTTTAAACCAGAAACGTCCCGTGTTAATCATCCAAGGTCCACCTGGTACTGGAAAAACAGGTCTGTTAAAGGAATTAATAGTCCGTGCTGTTCAACAGGGTGAAAGGGTGTTAGTAACAGCACCTACAAATGCTGCTGTTGATAACATGGTTGAGAAATTATCAGATGTGGGGATCAACATAGTAAGAGTTGGTAATCCTGCGAGAATATCTCCGGTTGTTGCTTCGAAATCTTTAGTTGAGATTGTGAATGTGAATCTTTCGAAATTTCGATCTGAACTTGAACGGAAGAAGTCGGATCTCAGAAAAGATCTGAGACAATGTCTGAAAGACGATTCATTAGCAGCTGGAATTCGACAGCTGTTGAAGCAATTAGGGAAGGCGTATAAGAAAAAAGAAAAGGAAATGGTGAAGGAGATTTTGGTCAATGCACACGTTGTGTTGACCACAAACAGTGGGGCAGCTGACCCGTTGATCCGACGTCTTGATGCTTTTGATCTTGTGGTTATAGATGAAGCAGGACAAGCTATTGAGCCGTGTTGCTGGATTCCAATATTGCAGGGGAAAAGATGTATTCTTGCTGGTGATCAGTGCCAGCTGGCACCTGTGATTCTTTCTAGAAAGGCGTTAGAAGGTGGACTTGGGATTTCTCTTCTAGAAAGATCCATAAGTTTACATGAAGGTGTTCTTGCCACTAAGTTAACAACACAATACAGAATGAATGATGCGATTTCAAGCTGGGCTTCAAAGGAAATGTATGGAGGATTGTTGACATCTTCACCTACAGTTTCCTCTCATCTTCTTGTTGACTCTCCTTTCGTTCAGGTATTATCAGGTTTTAATTTATTTTTTTTAACATTAAGATTTTTCGCCAAAAATGTAAATTTTACATATTCTTGTGTTATTTCAGCCAACATGGATAACACAATGCCCACTACTACTCCTTGACACAAGGAAGCCATATGGAAGTTTATCACCTGGTTGTGAGGAGCATTTGGATCTAGCTGGCACTGGCTCCTTTTACAATGAAGGAGAAGCGGATATTGTTGTTCAACATGTTCTTTCATTAATATATGCTGGTATGTGGATATTTGGAGTAATTAATATATATATATATATATATATATATATATATATATATATATATATATATATATATATATATATATATATATATATGTTTTCAGGGGTAGTTTGGTCATTTTACATTTACACAGGTGTGAGTCCAGCAGCAATTGCGGTGCAATCGCCATATGTTGCTCAAGTGCAGTTACTAAGGGACAGTCTGGATGAGATTCCATTGGCTAATGGTGTTGAGGTGGCAACTATTGATAGCTTTCAAGGGAGAGAAGCTGATGCAGTAATCATATCTATGGTAGGTCATATATATGTTTAATCTTGAATAGTCTATTGAAATCTTTTTCTTTATGATATATATAAAAAGACTACATTTTTATCTTGTTTAGGTTCGATCAAATACTCTGGGGGCTGTTGGGTTTTTGGGGGATAGTAGAAGGATGAATGTTGCAATAACAAGAGCAAGGAAACACGTGGCAGTTGTATGTGACAGCTCAACAATATGTCATAATACGTTTCTGGCAAGGTTGCTGCGTCATATCAGGTATTCTGGTAGAGTGAAACATGCAGAGCCAGGTGGATTTGGTGGATCTGGACTTGGGATGAATCCTATGCTGCCATCTATAAGTTGATTCTGATGCAATCTTCCAATACTTTGTGTACATCTTTCTTTCTTTTGGGAGATTGGTTTTATTCTTGTATAAGGTTATATTCATAGTTGTATATAAGAAACATAGATACACTGTCAAATTGTAAATTGCATTAAAACTTCCATAATGTGTGTTTTCATTCATATAAGAAAGTTTGTTTTTTTACCTGATGGAATGAAATAGACCAACCTTGGTTATGTTGTTCATTCCTTAAGAATGAATATAAGCGATTTGATTCCTTTCATTTTGTTCATGAACATATAAAGATTCTTCTCATTTGATTCCATTTCCTTTATTTCCATGCAACAAGAACATAACAGTTAAGCTACTTCCATAGTATTAAAAAATAAAACAGTGAAGAATGTTGAAAAGATTCTACCATTATATCACCCAATGATTACAAAAGTTGCAAATAAAAGTGAATTTTAGCAGAGCAGATGTATAAGATGATTCATATAAAAAGATTCCCAAGAAGACTTCATTTCCCTGATGCTGCTTCCTCAGGGGTCTTGGTTGTCATTTGGTCAACTGCATGCACAACGTTTTGAAGTTCCTCCCATATGGCTTTGTATACCATCCGCTGTCTATTCACAGCAGACTTTCCCTCAAAAGCTGAAGACACAACATCAATGCTGCAAAAGAAAAAAGAAGAAGGTTTCAAATTCAATTCCTTAATGATAACAAGATACATGGAAAAAATCATTTGTATATTTGCATTCACTTAGAAATATTAACAATAATAGCAATATAAGTTAACTATTGATGTTCAATCAATATAAATCATTGACATGGTTGCAACAGTGTGAAGAACTTAGAGATGGTATATGAAAACTCAGAGGCTAGAGGTAATGCACATGAGGAATTTGCACAATGATTTGTACAAAATGGTAAAAATGGCATGCACAAGTTGAGGTCAAAGAAGTACATAATATAAAAAATAAGCAAAACTTTAGGCTTCTGTGATTCTTAAGGCATAGAATCAACTATATAATCGGGAGAGAGAGTACTTTCATCCAACACTACAAAAGTAAAGGAGATGCTTATAATCCATTTGATGAAAGTAAAGAAAAAATAATTAAGGAAGAAAGTTTCATATGGTGTTTACTCGAATAGTGAAACATGTGATAGGATACCGATTGACATGCAAGCAACTAACATTCCTTCAGTAATGATTCATTCCATTCCATCATACAAACAAACAGCTTTTTTTTTCATGCCAAACACTACCCTAATCCGTGTGATTGTATTCCAAGAAAGATCTCTCTGAAATAACAAATCAGTCTGTTTCATTACAAGATGGAAAGAGCAGTCTTTCATGTTACTTAGTTGAACATAGATGCATAATCAGACATATAAATTCAACCAATCTTTTGAGTGAAAATTCGAATGCAAACTCACCTAACATGCCGCCCATCACCATAAGCATCATTAACTGTTACTAACTCCGCATTCAATTCTTCTTTAATCTGTCCAAAATATATGCATAGTTAGCCATGTCCAATTAGGTTCTCTTAGATTTCTCACAGCCCCTTGTAATATATCGCAAAATAAGGGATTTTTCATCTTGTTCTCAACTCGTTTCGTATTGAACAAATTCAAAGATTTCATATATGATCCATGGGGGTAATAGATTAAAGATACTAATAATCGAATGGAAGACACACAACTAGCATGATAATTAATACCTTTAAACTTTAAAATGAACCAAAAAATCACGGTAAAAACCAGGTTTCCAATTCGCATCCAGTCATTTCATAAGCTTAGAAATTATCAAACCTTGTTCTGCATCGACTGCATCAATGGCGAATCGATAGGTCCAGAAGCGTTTGAGGGAGATGTAACCCGGGTACTGATGCTCCGACGACCCACCATGTGAAGCTTGGGCATGATAAGCTGTTGACGACCTAACTTCTCCACTGGAACAATTAGGCGAACACGAGCTTGAGACTTGAAATGGCGCAGACTGTGGCATCTGAAGAGATGGGTACCGTAGGCACACAAGGCCGTGATATTGGGGCGGGTGAGCATCGCCATCGCCGTAGTAGCTTGTGGCAACCTGCTCTGTTGACTGTTGAGTATACGATAATAGGGTAGCAAAAGAAGGCCACGCAACCTTCCCACACGATATCAAGCTTTGCCCTTTGGTCAAGGTGTTACAGATGTTTTGTACTTTTCGTCCATGAATAGTAATATATGGCCACGTTTAGTCCTTCAGCATCAAAAATGTGAAGATTCAGTCCTTTAAACTGATTTTTCAGATGTCATCGTGTTTTGTTTCGTTTTCGAAATATCCTCGCGATTCGATTCTTTGTTTGATTCAGTCCAATTGAAAACATGACGATTTTTCTTTTCAAACTTTTAATGGTCATTTATATTATAATAGAGGTTATTCGATTAATACGTTGAAAATAAATATTATATTATATTATATTATTTTAATACTTTTAGTATTCAATAATAAGAGTGAACATCACATATACCATTGAAATATCCCAAAATAGAAACTTATGATTTCCAGAATTTTGTAACCCATGCATATGCTGGTTCAACCAAACAACAGAGAACAACGATATAAGGGGTCTTGCTACCCATTGATTTATGTTTCTTAAACAATATGTGATAATAAAATATTAACTTATTTTTTATAGATATTTGATTTTTCTTTAATCGAGTCATTTAAGTGATATAAAATAGGAAACATAATAAAAAAATCATTAGATAGAAACAATTTTGATCCCACATCATTGTATTAAATAAACTTAAAAAGGCGTTTTTATTCTATATATAAATAAAGGATAAATTTCATAATATAATTAATTACTATGTGTGAAACCCGTTTATTACACGAGTTGATTAAAATAAAAGATAGATATCAAAGTGTAAATATTAAAAATCAAAAGTTTGTTTTAACTCAAAATTAATGATACAATCGTCATGTTGTATTATAAAATATAAATTTTAATATATATATATATATATATATATATATATATATATATATATATATATATATATATACTCATACATTGTAATATCAGTGTTTATGAAATAATTTAGTTTGTTAATCACTTTTATTATTTTATTATTCTCAAAAAGATATTTAAACAAATTTTATTTGAAAAATAAGAAAACAAAGAACAAAAATCTAAGAAAATATATAAAAACAAAGTATGTTATTAGCATAATTTTAAATCCGTATAACATATATAGATACATTGGAAAGTTTTTGAAAAAAATGAATATATGTGAATTTAAATGCCAAATGGTAGCATAATTTTAGGTTAATAATATCGAATAAGAAATATAAACGAAAAACTGATTTAAATTACCCTAAATGTAGGAATTCAAATTTGGAAGGAACATGTATTCTTAATCCTCATAAATACATAATTATGTCGCATTTTTAAATAAAGTTGATAAATACAAGAAAATGACATGTTGATTTTATAAAATTTAAAAACACCATAAAATGCTAAGTGTTATAATTCATGACAAAATGATATGTGACAAAAAAAAAACATTTATTTATTAGAAATGATAATATGTCTGGGTTTTAAGAGTCGGTCATGAAGTCAAAATATCCATTTGAAGCTAAATAGTTAGCAAATATAATATTACTTGATTTTCTTGCAATTTAATTCCATTGATATATCATAAGGTAATTAAATTATAAATTACCAAATATGACTATTTAAGGAGGGCCTCCTTTCATTCCAACTCATTCAATTTAGGGTCACATTAATTTTTCTTTTTCCTTTTTCTTTCATCTTTTTTAACCAACAATCATGAAAACTTTATTTTTTCAATTCATTCAATTTTTAATTTTAAAATAAATACACACAAATTAAAATCATTCAAAATAATTAACAAAAACATTAAAAACATACAAACACAATTTAATATAAGTTTTAAAATATGAGGTATAATTAACTAATGCATAGAAGAATATAAAGAGAAAGCTAGAGATAAAAAACTAGTTCTACGAACTTATTAAAGAAGAACAAATATTTAAACCCACTTGACCTATTTGTTGAAGGAATTGTATCTTAGAGGTACCATTCTCTTACAACTTAAATGATTTTACAATCGAAATTACTGAAGGTTTTACATGCAATAATTAATTTATGAAAATATCATATATATAATATATATGGTATAAAATTGCACATGATAGAGACAAATTTGATCTCACATCATCATCATGTTAAATAAAAGTCTCCTTTCAAAATTAAAATAAATAATTCAAAGTAAAATTTATTATATAATTCATTCTTATGTTTATCCTTATAAAGTGTTTAAAATATTAAAATTCTAAGGAATATATATTTAATGTTATATTATTTTAAATGCAATGAGCATAGTCGGGCCTACCATGGGGCAGTTGCCCCACAACAAAAAATGATAATAATAACAAATAGGTATTTTTTTTAATTTATTTTGCCTTTTCAAAATTACATATTTTTACCCTTTAAATTTTTCTTGCCCCCATAAAAGAAAGGGATAATGACTTCAGAGGGTAACATACTTTTGATTTTGATCACATTTGGTCACTGAACTTTTTTTCGTGCTCTATTAACCCTTTAACTTGTTGATTTGTGCAAATTTTCCCCTTCCGACCGGGTTTAGCCGGTTTCAAACGGTTTATTGATCCTACGTGTATTTTTTTATCTTACGTGGCGAAAGAGGTGGCATGTAGGGCCCGATTTTTCGTCTCCGTCTCATTAAACAACACCCCGAAGTCTCATTTGGTCCTTAAACTCGACTAGGTCACAAAATTCTCCATCGATCATTCATCTCCTTCAACCGTTCTATGGCATCATCTCCAAATCCTACTGATCAGAACTTCATTGTAGTGGATTTCCACTACAATGGTCAGTTTGCACCCAATCCCTTAGTTTACTTTGATCCCAACAGAGCATCAGTGCGAGATGTGGACTTCAGTGGGTTTGGGTATGAGCAATTCATGGAATTCCTTCACAAGCTCACCAACTCGAGAAGCAAAGACATCTATTTCTACCTTCCACAAGAGTCTTTAGGTCTTGGAATTCATACACTGGTGAACAACGGTGATTACAAGGAATTTTTGGATTTGGCGTATGCTAATGACAAGAGAATGAATGTATATGTGGATCACCATAATGAACCTATCTTCGACTGGATTGAGGCTGAGGAAAGTGAAAGTGAAAACGAAGACTTAGATGAAGATGAGGATTCAGTTATTCAAGATTCATATTCTGTTGATCATGAAGAAGATGATGCTACCTATCCATTTCCAGCAAACAAAACTGCACGTGATAGATTTTTAAACATCCTTTGTGAACCTATAGATAGTGAAGATCAAGATGATGAATACGTGCCACCCCAGTACCCTGTGTATGATGAGAGACAGCCATGGGATCAGATGAAACCAATTATAGGTATGCGATTTTCTAACCCTACTAAGCTTAAACATATGTTAAGCAATTATGCAGTTGCTAATGGGTATGATCTATGGTTTGAATAAAAATGACTCTGATAGATTGTTAGTGAAATGTTGCAAAAAGAATAAGTCACCATCTTGCCCTTTCAGACTATGGGCCTCCTGGATGGGTAAAGAAAAGACTTTTCAGATCAAATCTCTAGTGAATGAACATAATTGTTGTAGGGTGTTTAAGTTTGGGTCAATTGTAACTTATAGATGGATAGGGAAACATTTTATGAGTCAAATTATAGAGAACCCAAAAATGAGTGCAAGGAAGATGAAAGCTAAAGTGTCAACAACATTCAACATAAATGTGAGTGTAGGGCAATGCAGAAATGCAAAGAAATTTGCATTACAAGAGATTGAAGGAAGTTTAATTGAACATTATGGGAGATTGTGGTCATATGGTGAGGAAATTATCAGGTCAAATCCTGGGTCTACTGTGAGATTGGATGTAGACATCATGCCAGATTCCACAACTTTGTTTTCTAAGTTTTATGTGTGTTTCAAAGCTGTAAGGGATGGTTGGTTAGAAGGGTGCAGGCCAGTAATTGGGCTTGATGGTTGCTTTTTAAAGGGTATAGTTAGAGGAGAAGTTATTTCAGCTGTTGGGAGAGATGCAAACAACCACATCTACCCTTTAGCATGGGCTGTGGTATGTGTTGAGAATAAAGAAACATGGAAGTGGTTCATAGATTTGCTTATGGATGACATTAATGGTGGTCTTGGTGCAGGCATTACCCTTCTTTCTGATGGACACAAGGTTAGTACTAGGTCATTTTTATGCTTCATTTTTATGCTTTTTCACTCATAATGATGTTGTGATTTGTAGGGGTTATTACAAGCAGTTAAGGAAAAATGTCCAGAAGCTGAACATAGACAATGTGCTAGACACATTCTGGCCAATTTTAATAAAAGGTTTACTGGTCAACAATACATAAAGTTATTTTGGAGGGCTGTAAGGGCTAGTACTGTGGAGAAGTTCAGAGGTGTAATGGAGAACATCAAATCTATTGATACTCATGCTTATGATTACCTTATAGACAGAGATCCTACTACCTGGTCTAAGGCATTCTTTCAAGAAGGAAGAGACTGTGATGCAGTGGAGAATGGGGTCAGTGAGAGTTTCAATTCTGCTATTAGGCATGCTAGAAGGAGACCTATAATCACTATGCTGGAGGAGATTAGGTTATTTGTGATGGAAAGGATAACTCAAAGAGTTGAAGGAATGGAATGGGATTTGCTTATATGTCCAACTATTAGGAAGCGTATAGAACATCTGAAGGTTAAACAGAGGTAATTATTTTACTTTAATATGCTTATGTTAATTATGAGGATGTGTTATTGATTCACTGATGTTAATATGCTTAAACAGATTGTGGGGAGTTACTCCTTGTGGTTATCAAAAGTATGAGGTTAGATTCACTAATGTTGCATATGGAGTGGATCTAATTGCAAAGAAGTGTGCCTGTAGAATATGGCAACTTACAGGGATACCATGCTTATATGGAGTGGCAGCAATATCTTACTTAAATCATGATGCTGAGGCATATGTGTCCCAATCATACACTACTGAGGCTTACCTAAAATGCTACAAATATAGCATTAATCCTCTCAATAGTAGTGAAATGTGGCCAGATGTTCCATACCATAAGCCTTTGCCTCCCAAAAGAAGAAGATTACCTGGTAGGCCATCTGTGAAAAGGAAGAGGGATGCAATTGAACGAGAGTTGAGTGGATCAAGTAGACAAACTGTCTCAAGAAGGGGTAGCATAATAAAGTGTGGTATTTGTAAGGAACCAGGTCACAACAAGAAAAAGTGTCCATCTAACCAACAAAGCAATACATCAGGTGAATATTTTTAAAAAAATTACAT